TGAGACACTGCAACCTCTCTGCCTCCCAGATTCAAGGGGTTCCCCCGCCTCAGCCTCCCGAGTAGCTGGGAGTACTGTTGCATGCCACCACTCCCGGCTAATTTTTTTGTATTTTAGTGGAGACGGGGGTTTCATCATCTTGGCCAGGATGGTCTTGATCTCCTGACCTTGTTGTGGTCTGCCCTCTCAGCCTCCCAAAGTGCCGGGATTACAGGCATGAGCCACCTCACCCAGCTATAATTTTTGGTTTTGTTTTTAATTAATTAATTTTTTTTGAGATGAAGTCTTGCTCTGTCGCCAGGGTGGAGTGCAGTGGCGTGATCTCGGCTCACTCCAACCGCCGCCTCCCAGGTTCAAGCCGTTCTCCCGCCTCAGCCTTCGGAGTAGCTGGGATTACAGGCGTGCACCACCACACCCCGCTAATTTTGTATTTTTAGTAGAGACGGGGTTTCATCTTGTTGGCCAGGCTGGTCTTGAACTCCTGACCTCAGGTGATCCGCCCGCCTTAGCCTCCCAAAGTGCCGGGATTACAGGCATGAGCCACCGCGCCCGGTCTGAAGCCTCCGCGTATTCTGTTTGGTTCAGTTACTCTCGCCCCCATTTTCCAGAGAGGGCAGCTGAGGCTTGGGGGCTTTCCACGGGCCACCCAGCTCTGATCCCGGCCTTACTCGCCGGCTTTCCGCCTCCACCGTGACCACCCTCAGATCTCAGGAAGCTGCAGGACAGCCTCAGGAGCCCTCACCGCCCCCACCTCTGTCATCCCGGGCCTGGGTCACACAAGATCAAGGACGCTTCTGGTACTTGACATTCTCCACCCCACCCCGAGGCTGGAGTGCGGCCATCAGGACATCCGATCTCCGGCCAGGGGAGGGGGGACGCAGGCTTGGCGTCAGGGGGCAGCTGGCAATGGGCTGGGGACATCAAAGGCTGTGAGGCTCTCTCCTGACTCCTCTGTCCTACCCCGAGGGCCGGAGGTTTTATCAGCCTTCCTGACATCTCTAAACAGTGCCTTCTCTGATCTTCACCCCCGTGTCCAACCCCCACCCTTGTGGGGGCACATGTCCCCTCCTGTGGCTTCCCCACGCACGCAGCTGAGGCCTATATTTGGAAAAAGCTGCTCCCCACCTCCCACTAGACTTCTTAATCTGATGGGGTCCCACCCTCGCTCTAACCCCTACCATGGCTCCCCAGTGACCTCAGGGTAATGTCCCAACCCATCACCTGCCGTGTCACCGTGCTTCTTGGTCTGACTCCTCCAACCCTGTGCCTGATGAGAGGAACTGGGAGGGGTCATCCGTGTCTCCCCTCCAAAGTAGGGGCTTCAGAATCTTTGGGGGTTCTCAGCAGGAGGTCAGACCTAGGTCCTGGTCACCCCACAAAGTCAGGGCTAGGAAACAGTAGCTGGCTTCAAGGGGACAAAAACAGAGGCCAGGTGCCGAGGTTCACACCTGTAATCCCAACACTCTGGGAGGCTGAGCTGGGAGGATCACTTGAAATCAGTGAGTCAGGACCAGCCTAGGGAAAATGGTGAGGCCCCATCTCTACAAAAAATTTAAAAATACATTGGGTGGCCGGGCACAGTGGCTCACGCCTGTAATCCCAGCACTTCGTGAGGCCGTGGCAGGCGGATCACTTGAGGTCAGGAGTTCGAAACCAGCCCGGCCAACATGGTGCGACCCCGTCTCTACTAAATATACAAAAATTAGCTGGGTGTGGTGGCACATGCCTGTAATTCCAGCTTCTAGGGAGGCTGAGACAGGAGAATTGCTTGAACCTCGGAGGTGGAAGTTGCAGTGAACTGAGATTGCACCACTGCGCTCCAGCCTTGGCGATGAAGCAAGACTCTGTCTAAAAAAACAAAACTGCATTGGGGTATGGTGGTTCACACTTGTAATCTCAGCACTTTGGGAGGCCAAGAATTTCGAGAACAGCCTGCACAACATGGCGAAACCCCGTCTCTACTAAAAATACAAAAAATTAGCCAGGCATGGTGGCGGGTACCTGTAATCCCAGCTACTCGGGAGGCTGAGGCGGGAGAATCACTTGAACCCGGGAAGTGGAGGTTGCAGTGAGCCAAGATCACACCATTGCACTCCAGCCTGGGCAACAGAGCGAGACATAGTCTCAAAACACACACACACACACACACACACACACACACACACACACACACACACGCGCGCACCAGCAAAAGGACAAGAATGCAGAGATATATTGGTGCTTTGACCACACCCTGCCCCCCCCATTGTACCTACCCCAAGGGCAGGCAGGGATTGTGCTTGGTTTTTGACCTACAAAGGAGGCTGGAAAAGCAGTGGACAGCCAGGCACCTGTCCTGCACACCAGGTGGCCTTCCGCAGCCCCGGTACCCAAACAACTACAGAGGTGACGTGGAGCCCAGTTCATATCCCGCGTCTGCCTCTTGTTAGTCCCATGCCCGCCCACAGGACACGTCTGTGTGAGACTCAGTTTCCCCATCTGTAAGGGGCATGAAGGCTGCGCAGCATGCCTCACGTCTGTAATCCCATCTCTTTGGGACCAGTCTGGGCAACAACATAGCAAGACTTCCATCTCTGAAAAAATTAGCCAGGTGTGGTGGCATGCACCTGTAGTCCCAGCTACTTGAAAGGCTGAGGCAGGAGGACTGCTTGTGCACTATGATCGCACCACTGCGCTCCAGCCTGGGCGACAGAACAAGATCCTGTCTCTTAAAATAAACATTAATAATAAAATAAAATAATGAAGCGTGAAGTGGTGTGAGCTCTTCTAGGGGTCTCGTGGGATGAAAGGAGATGAGGAATGGAAAAAACCAGTAGGCTAGTGGGTTTTTGAGACAGAGCCCATTATGTCACCCATTGTTTCCTGGACGTAAGCGATCCTCCCACATCAGCCTCCTGAGTAGCTGGGACTACAGGCATGCACCACCACACCTGGCTAATTTTTGTTTTGTTTTGTTTTTGTTTTGATATAGGGTCTTGCTCTGTCCCCCAGGCTGGAGTGCGGGGGCACAATTTTGGCTCACTACAACCTCCACCTCCTGGGTACCAGTGATTCTCCTGCCACAGCCTCCCGAGTAGCTGGGATTACACGAACCACCATGCCCGGCTAATTTTTGTATTTTTAGTAGAGACGGGGTTTTGCCATGTTGACCAGGATGGTCTCGATCTCTTGACCTCATGATCCACCTGCCTCCAGCCTCCCAAAGTGCTGGGATTATAGGCGTGAGCCACCGCGCCCTGCCGGAACTGAGGTTCTTATCTGTCCTCATTCCTTTATCTCCTTGGAGTCCTCCACCCCTGACCTCTCCACCGTCTTTTCTGGGTTCTGTCTCTTGACCTCCTTTTAACTCTCCCACCCATCTTCCGTCCAGTTTTCATAAAACAGTGTGTGACCTGCAGCAGCGGGGGCGGCCAGGGCTGTGCACCCCTTGGCTGCTCCAGCACTGGGTTTTGTTTTGATTTTTGAGACAGAGCCTCACTGTCACCCAGGCTGGAGTGCAGTGGCACCATCTCAGCTCATTCCAACCTCCATGTCAGGTGATTCTCCTCCTGCGTCAGCCTCCTGAGTAGCTGGGATTACAGGCATGCGCCACCACGCCCGACTATTTTATTTATTTATTTATTTTGAGATGAAGTTTTGCTCTGTTGCCCAGGCCGGAGTGCAGCAGCGCCATCTTGGCTCACTGCAACCTCTGCTCTTGGGTTCAAGCGATTCTGCTGCCTCAGCCTCCGGAGTAACTGGGACTACAGGTGTGTGCCACCATGCTCAGCTAATTTTTGTATTTCTAGTAGAAACGGTTTCACCATATAGGCCAGGCTGGTCTTAAACTTCTGACCTCATGATCCACCTGCCTCGGCCCCCCAAAGTGCTGGGATTAAAGGTGTGGGCCACCACACCCAGCCAAATTTCATATTTTTAGTAGAGATGGGGTCTCTATATTTTCAGGCTGGTCTTGAACTCCCCACCTCAGGTGATCCGCCTGTCTTGGCCTCCTAAAGTGCTGGGATGACAGGCATGAGCCACCGCGCTCAGCCTAACCTTTGTAGTTTTAGTAGAGACGCGGTTTCACCGTGTTGGTCAGGCTGGTCTCGAACTCCTGACCTCAGGGGATCTGCCCGCCTTGGCCTTCCAAAGTGCTGGGATTACTTACAGGTGTGAGCCACTGCACCTGGCTCAAGACCCTGTTTCTATAATAAAAAGAGGAAAGAAGAGAAAATGGTGCTGGACGAGGGGGAGGCCTGAGGCAGAGGCAACCGCACGCACCTGAGGAACTTGAAACCCACAGTCCGGTGACCCGTTCGTGGGAGGACGTTGGTTGGAGGGGGAGGGCCGTGCCCACAGGCCCGGGAGTCACAGGCACCGCCTGCCTCACTGCGCGCCCCGGGCAACTCCGTTCCTGGCCTGTAAAATGGGAGTGAAATTTGCTCCAGCACGTGGGGCTCTTGGCAGGCAACGCTCGTTAAAGGCCAGGTGGTACTGTTATGTTGATTACCCCTATTATTACCGTTAATAACCAATTAATTAGTGCTGCTGCGTCCTCTCCGCGTGCGATCGCGTCTCTCTAGGCCGGGAAGTCACCGGACCCCGAGACACGCTCGCGCGCAGAACCCCCCCATACCCCCCCCAAACCCACTGCCCATCCCATGCGCTCCACCCCGGCTCGCAGTGGGCCTCGTCCAGCTGGGTGTGGCGCGGGCCTGGAGGCGGGGTCTGAGTGGCAGCCAGCTGTGCCCCCCTCGTCCATTTCCTTCCAGAGTGTTTGGGGGTTCAGGAGACTCACGCTGAGCGATCGGGGGTCGCCCTCTTATCCCGCGGGCACTAGGACCGTGCGGGTGCCCGGCGTAGAGGCCGAACAAGCCCTGCGGGCACGCCCCTCTCCTCTCTCCTCGGCGATTGGCTGCGATTCCCCGGGGCGCGGCTCCGATTGGTGCAGATGCCGGGATCGCCCCGCCCCACCCGGCCCAGCGCAGACTCCCAGCTCCAGGGCCTGGCGGCCGCAGAGGCAAGTGCGGGGCGGACGCGGCGGGTGCGGGCGCGGCCGGAAGAGAGCGGGGCGCGGGGTGCGCGGTGCCCGGCGCGTGCTGGGGTCCCCGGCGCCTCCCGCCACCGCACCCCGTGAGGCCCGGCCGGAGCACTCTCCGCGGAGCCCGGAGGCGGGGCGCGCGTGCCCGGCGCCGCGATGGGCCCGGGACCCCCGGCGGCAGGAGCGGCGCCGTCCCCGCGGCCGCTGTCCCTGGTGGCGCGGCTGAGCTACGCCGTGGGCCACTTCCTCAACGACCTGTGCGCCTCCATGTGGTTCACCTACCTGCTGCTCTACCTGCACTCGGTGCGCGCCTACAGCTCGCGCGGCGCGGGGCTGCTGCTGCTGCTGGGCCAGGTGGCCGACGGGCTGTGCACGCCCCTCGTGGGCTACGAGGCCGACCGCGCCGCCGGCTGCTGCGCCCGCTACGGCCCACGCAAGGCCTGGCACCTGGTCGGTAAGTGTCCCGGCCCCGCCATCTGTCTGGCAGCCCCTCCGAGAGTCACTGACCCGGGCGCCTCCTCCCTCTGACCCGCCTCCCGGCCACGCGCCTCCTCTCGGTCTGTCAGTCCCGTGGCCTGACCCTCCCTGCACTGTCTGTCCTGGGCCTGAACCTCCGCTATCTGTCTGCCTCCACCACCTAGCCCCTTCTGTCTGTCTGCGGGGGACCTAAGCCTCCCCTGTCTGTCTGCCCACCCCGTGAGCTGAGTCTTCACCTCTCTGTTCCGTGGCCTCAGCCACCCTGCCCTGACTACCCAGTGCCCCCACTGTGGTGTCACTCCTGACCCTCCCCTGACTATCCCACCAGCCAGCCTGAGCCTCCCCTGTCTTTCTGTCTCATGGCCTCCCATATCTGACTGTGCAGTGCCTCCCCATCTGTCTGACTGTGCAGGGCCCCGCTGTCTGCCTGAGCCATGAGCCTCCCCCACCTTCTGCTTAACTGCCCCGTGTTCCCTCTGTCAGCCCCTTGGCCCAGCCTCCCCTGTCTGTCTGCCTCAGAGCCTGCTGTCTGACCTGTAGGACCCTGGCCATCTGACTGCATGCCTTTCCAGTGTTAATTCCCTTGTCCCTCTGCCTCCTCCGGCCGCCCTGAACCCTCTGGAGGGTTGGTGACTGCCCCGCGCCGCCTCTGTCAGTCTGTCCAGCCTCACCTTGTCTATTAGGGTGACCAACCAGGACAGCTATGGCAGAGGACCATCAGGCTGCCTAGAGCCCCCTCTCTCTGTCCATTCTGCCAGGGCACCCTCGTGCGTGGGTGGTTTGGGGGTGCTGCCCCGGGAGTTGAGAGTTGGGGGCCGCCTGGGTGGGACTGGAGGGTCAAGGGTCTTTGCCTTGTTCTTGCCAGGGTCAGGGTCCGCCTAGGTCTGGGGGAGGTGCCCTGATTGGAGAGGGCTGTTGGGAGGTGAGGAGGCTGGCATCACCCTGCCCCGGTGCCCCTCGATAAGCCTGCAGGCCTGCCTCCCAGCGGCCCTCCTCTCCCCGCCCGGACCCTGGGCCTGAAGATTAGCCACAGCCTCCTTCCCTGCTCCTCTTGCGCTGGAAGAATTGCTGGCTGCCTTCTGGCATTTGGGGCACATGGGGCAAGGAGGCAGGGCCGGGAAGCCTGCTCAGCTCTTGGAATTCCAGGCCACAGGAGTGGCAGGCCGGTGCCTCCTCACCCTTGCGAGCGATGACTGAGTGGGTGGTGACCCCAGGCTCTGGGGAATGGCAGGTTTTGCAAGAGGCAGTAGGTCTTCAGTGGCCTGAGAGCTCCAGGCCCCGAAGAAGGCGCAGCTTGGGGCTGGATTTGCATGTTTTTCGTGTCCAGATTATTCCTGGGTCACTTGAGACTGTGGCACACGGAGGGGGACCGGCTGTCCCTTCCGTTTTGGTTACGTTGGGATTGGTTGCTGAGCGGAACCCAGGGCTTAAAACGCGTCTTTGATCATGATAGTTGGATAAGCTCATGACAGACACACAAGACGACTGCCGGGCACCCGGGCAGTGGCTCACGCGTCTCATCCCAGCACTTTGGGAAGCCCAGGTGGCAGATCACCTGAGGTCAGGAGGTTGAGGCCGGCATGGACAGCATGGCGAAACTCCATCTCTATTAAAAATACAAAAATTAGCTGGGCGTGGTGGTGCACGCCTGTAGTCTCAGCTACTTGGGAGGCTGAGGAAAGAGAATCACTTGAACCCCGGAGGCAGAGGTTGCGGTGAGCCGAGATCACGCCGCTGCACTCCAGCCTAGGAGACAGAGCAAAACACCATCTTAAAGAAAAAAAAAAAAACGCAAACAAAAACAGACAGAAAAAGCAACTGAAGGCTTTATGCTTTTCCAAAGCAGACCTGGGGGAACGGTGCTCCGGCCAGATAGCAAGATTCTACCTTCACCCTCCTCCCTGCCTGGGGGAGGGCACCTGCCCCGGGAGCTGAGAGTTGGGGGCCACCTGGGTGGGGCTGGAGGGTCAAGAGGGTCGGTTGGGAGTGGAAGCCCAGGCAGCTGCTCTTGATGCCTGGTCAGGTGACTGGAGCGGAGCTCACCCGGACAGCAGCTCCCGCTTCTCTATTTCAGTCCCAAGTCTGGGGCTGGTGGCTGAGGACTCCCCATGCCCCGTAAATAGTCCTGGGGGACTCCCCGCCAATCCTGGGAAGACCCCAGAGCCAGGCACAAACCCTCCTGTGGGTGGGCAGATGGCATGAATGGGCTTCAGAAGGAAGAATGATGTTAGCTTTGAGGTTCTGAAGGATGCGTAGGAGTGTGTGGAGGGGGGGCGCATTCCAAATAGCAGAAAGAGCTGTGGAAAGGCAGGAACCGCCGTTACTTTGAAGCTGCGGAAGCAGGAAGTTCAGAGTAGAAGGAGCTTCTCTAGTGCCGCAGGTGAACTCTATCCTCAGGCCAGCCTGTGGGGCAGGAACTTTCTATTCTTTTTTGTTTTTGAGACAGAGTCTTACTCTGTCGCCCAGGCTGGAGTGCAGTAGTGGGATCTCGGCTCACTGCAACCTCCGCCTCCCAGGTTCAAATGATTCTCCTGCCTCAGCCTCCCAAGTAGCTGGGATAACAGGTGTTCTCCACCACAGCCGGCTAATTTTGGTATTTTTAGTAGAGATGGGGTTTCACCATGTTGGCCAGGCTGGTCTCGAACTTCTGACCTCAGGTGATCTACCTGCCTCAGCCTCCCAAAGTGCTGGGATTACAGGCGTGAGCCACCACGCCTGGCCTCTTCTTTTCCATTCTTTCTCTTTTCTTTTTTTCTTTCCTTGACAGGGTCTCGCTCTGTCACCCAGACTGGAGTGCAGTGGCGTAATCACGAGTCACTGCAGCCTTGACCTCCTGGGTTCAAGTGATCCTCCCACCTCAACCTCCCTCAGTGCTGGGATTACAGGATGAGCCGCCACTCCTGGCCACCATCCCTGTTGTGTGAAAACTGAGGCCTAGAGGGGCACAGTCACTTGCCCAAAGTCCCCCGGCCCCGGCAATGGTTAACTCAGACTGGTCAGCAGGAGCAGGGAGTCCAGCCAAGAAGGGACCTTCTCACTAGAGTCCACAGTCCGTTCTCTGCCCCCGGATGACCCCAGGACCCCAGGAATCTGCACAAACCCTCCCAGGCCTGTGTTCCAGGGAAACCGCCAGGAGGGGGTGGTTTTGGTTTCACTTCTCCAATTCCAGCTGTCCGGGGCAGTCCCAGTGTCTGGGGATGAGGTCACCTCTGGAGCCTGCAGGGAGGAAGGAGGTTCAGCCACCAGGCTTGGTACAGGCATCCCTCCAGGTGCTCTAGGCTGGGAGGAGAGCAGTGCAGGGCTGCAGGGCTGCAGGGAAGGGGCCTGGCTCCAGCTCAGTCTAGAGGCCTCAGTTTTCCCATCTGGAAAACAGGATGACACCCACGCCTCCAGGCTGCGTCAGGTCCACGATTGTTATAGTTCGCTCACTCAGAGGGTACTGAAGTAACAGCAGGGCGCAGTGGTTCACGCCTGTCATCCCAGCAGTTTGGGAAGCCAAGGAGGACGTATCACTTGAGGTCAGGAGTTCGAGGCCAGCCTGGCCAAGGTGGTGAAACCCCCATCACTACCAAAAATGGAAAAATGAGCTGGACATGGTAGCAGGTGCCTGTAATCCCAGCTACATGGGAGGCTGAGGCAGGAGGATCGCTTGAACCTGGGAGACGGAGGCTGCAATGAGCCAAGATTGCACCACGGCACTCCAGCCTGGACGCCAGGGCCAGACTCAGTCTCAAAAAAAAAAAAAAAAAAAAAAAAAAGCAGTATTGAAGTACTGAGTTCCGTGTTGGGTCTCCCCAGGCCCCTTGGAGCCTGCTGTCTGCAGAGGAAAGCCAGTGGAGAGACAAAGAATTCCTGGGTGTGCTGAAGTGAGGTAGGGGCAGCAGGGGCCAGGAGAGGAAGTGTTTGAGGAGGTGACATTCCGGTTGAGCTGAGAGGTGAGAAGTAGCCGGTCTTGCCAAGATGTGACAGCCAGACTGCTCCAGGCAGAGGCACGCCTGTGCAAAGGCCCGGGGGCAGTTGGAGGAACAGTGAGGAGGCCGTGTGGCTGGAGCAGAGAGAGGTGGGGAGAAGGCAGGGCAGGGAGGGGAGGGGGCAGGTCGCACAGGGCTCCATGGGCTGCAGGGAGGATCTGACATTTGTTCCAAAGTGTCTTAGGGTTTTTTTTTCTGAGCATGTGAAAGGCTGGGGCTTGGCACAGTGGATCTCGGTTGGGGGCAGGAGCTCCAGGGAGTGGTCACCTTAGGAGCTGACAGAGACGGGGAGCTTAGGGAGGGCAGGGTCCAGCCCAGCTCCACCAGGGCCTCCCAGTTCCCGAGGCCCCACAGGAGGCTTGACAGTGGCCAAGGGAGAGGAGCGGGAGGAGGCTGTGGATGTAACTGGGGCACCTGTGTGGGGCAGGTTTCCGGGGAACCTCCTGTGCCGCAGTTCTTCTGACTACTAAGCCCGGGTATCTGGTCTCAGTTTCCCCTTTTGTGACCAGGGCCATAAGCCTGGGAAACCCTGGCTGCAGAACCTCGCTTCTGTGTGCCCGTGTGCATATGGGGCGGGGAGAGCAGATCTCCATCTGTGCCTCGGTTTCCCTCTGTCCTCCCTCAGTGTCCCCACCCCAGGAGCCCTGGCTGGTGCGGGAAGGCCCTGACTGACCTCCCCTCCTGTCCACAGGCACCGTCTGTGTCCTGCTGTCCTTCCCCTTCATCTTCAGCCCCTGCCTGGGCTGTGGGGCCGCCACGCCCGAGTGGGCCGCGCTCCTGTACTACGGCCCGTTCATCGTGATCTTCCAGTTTGGCTGGGCCTCCACGCAGATCTCCCACCTCAGCCTCATCCCAGAGCTCGTCACCAACGACCACGAGAAGGTGGAACTCACAGCACTCAGGTGGGAGCCCGGGCACCTGCCCCTGAGAGCCGGGTGGGACGGGTCTGGCTTATGAGTCAGCGACACCACAGACGCAGCAGCTGGAGACCACACAGTCTTTTATGTTCAGTTTTAATTTATGCTATTTATTTATTTTTTTGAGATGGAGTCTTGCTCTGTTGCCCAGGCTGGAGTGCAATGGTGTGATCTCGGCTCACGGCAACCTCTGCCTCCTGGGTTCAGACGATTCTCCTGCCTCAGCCTCCCGAGCAGCTGGGATAATGGCACCCAGCATCAGGCCTGGCTGTTTTTTTTCTATTTTTGTAGAGATGGTGTTTCACCATGTTGGCCAGGCTGGTCTTAAACTCCTGACCTCAAGTGATCCACCTGCCTTGGCCTCTATAGTGCTGGGAGTACAGGCGTGAGCCACCACGCCCAGCTACGTTTATTTATTTTATTTTATTTTTTTTTTTGAGACGGAGTTTCGCTCTTGTTACCCAGGCTGGAGTGCAATGGCGCGATCTCGGCTCACCGCAACCTCCGCCTCCTGGGTTCAGGCAATTCTCCTGCCTCAGCCTCCTGAGTAGCTGGGATTTCAGGCACGCGCCACCATGCCCAGCTAATTTTTTTTTGTAGTTTTAGTAGAGACGGGGTTTCACCGTGTTGACCAGGACAGTCTCGATCTCTTGACCTCGGGATCCACCCGCCTCGGCCTCCCAAAGTGCTAGGATTACAGGCTTGAGCCACCGCGCCCGGCCACCCGGCTGGTTTTTAAAGGTTTTGTAGAGACGGGGTCTTGCTATATTGCTCAGGCTGGGGACTCTTTGGCTCAAGGGCTCCTCCTGCCTTGCCCTCCTGAAGTGCCAGGATTACAGGCACAAGCCAGTGTGCCTACCCATCGCACATTCTCCTCTCACGGTTTCTAGGGGTCAGGATCCAGCGTGGCTGTTGGGGGCAGGAGTTGTGCTTCAGGGTCTGTCTTGAGCCTGCATTCAAGGGGTTGTCCAGGCCTAGGGTCTCATGGAAGGTTGGGGTGGTACCTCCTCCATGGTTGATGGTGGAATTTGTCATCTTCCACGTGTGGAAGTCACAGTGGCTGGCTGCTGCTTCTGAGGCCAGGAGGGAGAATCTCTGGTTTCAGGAAGCCCTGTCTCCCAAAGGATCCTCTGATTCAACAGGCCCACCCACAAGTCTCCCCTCTTTTTATTTTTATAGTTTTGAGACAGAGTCTTGCTCTGTTGCTCAGGCTGGAATGCAGTGGTGTGATCTTGGCTCACTGCAACCTCTGCCTCCCAGGTTCAAGCAGTTCCCCTGCCCCACCCTCCTGAGTAGCTGGGATTACAGGCGTGCGCCACCATGCCCGGCTAATTTTTGTATTTTTAGTAGAGACAGGGTTTCACCATGTTGGCCAGGCTGGTCTTGAACTGCTGACCTCAGGTGATCTGCCTTCCTCAGGCTCCTGAACTGCTGGGATTATAGGAGTGAGCCACTGCGCCGCCCCTTGAATCTCAGCTTCTTTAGCCCTCCCTGGGGAATGGGAGGTGGGAACTGTTCCTTCCCTCGTATTCCAGAGGAGGACACGGCCCCAAATGGTGCCCAAAGCCAGGGTCCCCACAGTGCCTTCATCAGGAAGGCAGTGTAGGGGGAGCCCACTGTTTGCCCCCCTGCCTCCTCCCCTGGCTTTCAGTTCCCCATTATGGCTGTGAGACAGATGCAGGCACTAACGACAGGGGTTTCCCAATACCCAGGGCCCTGGCCACTTCCTGTGTGCAGGCACTTTGTCAGCTGACCTCCTGCTGTGCTCATGCGGCCTTGAGGGGGGCATGGTTCCTACTTTCAGAAAGGGAGGCTGAGTCATGGTGGGATTCCCAAAGCCCCCAGCTCAGACTCCCCGCCTGTCTAGGCTTCTAGCCTTGCAGCCACCCAGCGTCTGGGGAAGAATTATTCCTGAATCCTGGCTTCTGAGTCTCTGGGTTCTCAGACTTTTGGGTTGCAGCCTGGACGCTGCTTGGCTGAGTAACTGCACCCTGGTCCTAGGCAGGAAGGGTGGAGCTGCTGGTCACAGCTCTCCTGTGTCAGATAACTTGCGGGCTGGGGAAACTGAGGCCAGCACAGGTATCCTGGAGGCCGCCACCCAGTGTGCCAGTGGCTGGACTCTCCCAGCAGTTGGGGTTCCGCAAGGCGCTACGACGGCGTGGCCACCTGGGGAAGAAGGGGCCTGGGTTCCCAGGGTCCTGTTGAGTCCCTGCCCGCCTGCCCGCCAGGTATGCATTCACCGTGGTGGCCAACATCACTGTCTACGGTGCTGCCTGGCTCCTGCTGCACCTGCAGGGCTCGTCGAGGGTGGGGCCCACCCAGGACATCAGCATCAGTGACCAGCTGGGGGGCCAGGACGTGCCCGTGTTCCAGGTGAGCTGGGGCCTGGGTGTTTCCTGAAGTCCTTGGGGCAGGGGCTGGGCCAGCTGCTGCTGACTGCTTCTGCCGCGTCCCCAGAATCTGTCCCTGATGGTGGTGGGTGTTGGTGCCGTGTTCTCACTGCTGTTCCACCTGGGCACCCGGGAGAGGCGCCGGCCGCGTGAGGAGGAGCCGGGCGAGCACAGCCCCCTGTTGGCCCCCGCGGTTGCCCAGCCCCTGCTGCTCTGGAAGCACTGGCTCCGGGAGCCGGCTTTCTACCAGGTGCGTGCTGGGGGTGGCAGGGCCAGCTCAGACCTCTTCTCCCACCCTTTGGGCCCTTTGCTGTGCGGGACAGCTGCGTACACACACAGCGCACACAGGAGCCCAGGGCAGAACGCTAATGAAGCACTGATCTCTGCTCCCCCAACCCACGGGGCAGTCACTACCCACGGATCAAATGCCAGCTGCAGGGTGCCCACCCAGGCCCCGGTGCCCCCTGCTGGTGGGAGTGGACAAGGGCCCTCCTGACCCCAGCTGGTCCCTCTGTTGGTCTGCCCACAGGCGGGCATGCTGTACATGACCACCAGGCTCATCGTCAACCTGTCTCAGACCTATATGGCCATGTACCTCACCTACTCTCTCAACCTGCCCAAGGTAAGTAGATTGGGACGGGGGCGCTGGGGTGGGACGGCCCCAGCCTGGCAAGCCGTGATGGACACACCGTGCCTGGCTCTGCCCTGCAGAAGTTCATCGCGACGATCCCCCTTGTGATGTACCTCAGCGGCTTCTTCTCATCTTTCCTTATGAAGCCCATCAACAAGTGCATCGGGAGGAACGTGAGTGGATGGGGTGCCCTGCAGCCGGGGTTCCCGCCTTGTAGAAGCCCCGGATCTGGGAACCAGGAGCCCTGGCCTCTGCGTGTCTCGAGTTCACACTGTCGTGGCGGCAGAGCTCTGGAGCTTTCCGTCCTCCCTGTGCCACTCGTTTGCTTTTGTGTACCTGACCTGCCTTTAGGCGGAATAGCCACGCGTCTCCAGCTACTGCCGCGTGGACAGAGCGCACAGCTCCACCTGGCAGTTCTCTTGGGCCTCAGAGCCTGGGATTTCTTGAGGCCAGAGCCGGGGCTCCTTAGTGACCGTCCAGCTCATGCCCCTTGTTTGCAGGGTAAGGGGTGGTGGATTGAAGACTAGAGAGGGCAAGTGCCAGGCTCGGGGGCACCCAGCAGCGTGGGCCTGACCCCGGGGCTGTCCCCTGCAGATGACCTACTTCTTGGGCCTCCTGGTGATCCTGGCCTTTGCTGCCTGGGTGGCGCTCGCGGAGGGGCTGGGTGTGGCCGTGTACGCAGCAGCTGTGCTGCTGGGTGCTGGCTGTGCCACCATCCTCGTCACCTCGCTGGCCATGACGGCCGACCTCATTGGTTCCCACACGGTAAGGCTGGTGGCCGGGGTGGGGGTGGCTGGGCGTAGAACTCGGGGTGCACGCTGACCACCCATGTCCCCCCAGAACAGCGGCGCGTTTGTGTATGGCTCCATGAGCTTCTCCGATAAGGTGGCCAACGGGCTGGCGGTCATGGCCATCCAGAGCCTACATCCCTGTCCGTGAGTGTCGTCCGCCCGCCCGCGTGAGGAAGGGGTTCAGACAAGGATGGGTGGAGAGACAGCCTCCCAGCATTCACGCCTGTAGAGGCCTGGGCAGCCAGGACAGGATGCCAGGGAGGGCTTCCTGGAGGAGGGGATGTGGACCTGACACTTGCAGGAAGTCAAACCGTTCCAGGTCAATGGGGAGGGGCCACACATGGTGTGCACAGGGAAGAGAGGGAGGGGGCAGGTCGCGCAGGGCCTGGTGGGCCATGGGGAGGGCTTGGGCTTTGACCCGAGGGTGGGCGGGCTGTGGGCAGAGGGACAGGCACTCACAGCTGCCCTCTGGTGGGGGTGAGGGGACTGGGCAGGTAGGTGCAGGTGGGCCCCACTGGGCCTGGACCATGTGGAGACAGGGAGAGAAGGGGTGGAGGGGACTGGCCGGGCGGGGGGGGGGGGGGGGGGGGGGGGGGGGGGGGGGGGGGGGGGGCTGACCCTCAGCTTCCAGCTTGGACAGGAGGAACCTGTCCAGGTAGGGTGGGGTCATCCCTGTGGTGCCCACTAGGCCCCTGCTTCCTCCCACAGCTCGGAGCTCTGCTGCAGGGCCTGCGTGACCTTCTACCACTGGGTGATGGTGGCTGTGACTGGCGGCGTGGGCGTGGCTGCCGCACTGTGTCTCTGCAGCCTCCTGCTGTGGCCCATCCGTCTGCGACGCTGTGAGTCCTGGACCACCCCTCCCTCCTCAGATGCTGACCACACCAGGGGCAAGCGTGGGGCCCACCCCACCTTCTCTAATGCCATTTCCACCCCTCCCTGGCAGGGGACCCAGAAACCCAGCCCTGAGTGCTGACGCCTCCTGCACCTGTGCAAGGGAAATGTGGGGACCCACGAGGATGCTGCCAGCGCCTAGGGGCTAAGCCCCCCCCACCGGCTCCGGGGATGGGAGTCAGGGTAAAGGCGGCGGGAATGAATCCAGAGGTTTGCAAGGATCCCTGGGCTTTTAGGTTGCCCCATTCTCAACTCTCAGTCCTCTGGAGGACTTGGGGTGCCCCTCTCAGCAGGAAGTAGGAACCCCAGAGGGGTCTGGGGGAACCCTAACCCCAGCACAGTTCACCCCTCACCTCTGGCCTGGGGATGGCAGGAGCCCCAGCCATGGGGTGGTGGGCTGGGCCTGGACCCCGCCATGGTGGGCAGCGGGACTGCCCGGTGGGCTTGGACTCTGCTGGCAGCAAATAAAGACATGAAGGCAGCCTGGCTCGTGTCTGCCGGGCAGGGGTGGCCCAGGGCAGGGTAGCCTGGGCATCTCGGCTGTGCCCTAGTTGTGGGTAGCCACCGTCTTTTGGGTGCAGAAAGACTGCAGGTGTGTCGTGGAAGCATGTGTTTATCGGGGAGCAGGTGTGGGGCCGGGTGGGAGCCGCTGGCCGGTGGAGGGGCAGTATGGCTCCAGGCCCCACTGCAAGTAGTTCTGGGTGGTGTGCGGTGGCCGCTGGGGCAGGGACAGGAAGGGCACGTAGTCCGATGCCCTCCACAGAGGCTCCACCCCATACCGGTTCCTGTTGACCACTGCAGGTGGGACCGGGGTCACTGCATGCCCCCCTTCCTCACCCTCAGCCAGCAAGGGGCTCCCGGGCCTCCCTGGGCAATTTCACCCTGGCCTCCCGGGGAGCTGCCCATGGCCTCACCGTAGTCCTTGCCCCGGATTGGCCTGTCTTTCCACAGCATGCTCCCCCACCGGGTGCTGGGGTCCAGGTACTGGGCGGGGACGATGGGGTCATGCCAGGCAGTCTCCCGCAGGTGCTGGGTGTAGGCTGCAGCAGGATGGGGGCTGGCGGTCATTCCTGTCCCCCTCGAGCAGGCCTGGCACCCGGGGCGGGGAGGGTGGGCACTCACCCGAGGGCAGGCTGCATTCGCGGTGTCGGTAGCAGCCGTGCCAGCGGTTGTAGGCCTCACGGAAGGGGCGGTCCAGGGCTGAGGGCAGGTTGTACCAGGCTTTCCGGGAGTCCGAGTTGGTCAAGCCCGTGTACCACAGCTGGCCGGCTGCATCGTGTCCCATGGGCGTGTACTTCCAGCGTGTGGCCTGCTTGATGGCCGGTGCCCAGCGTGGCCCCTCCAGGGACAGGTAGTCATCGCTGAGGGTGGGCGGTGGGGCAGAGACTGAGCCCGTCTCTACAATGGGCGCTTTCGATGTCTGCCAGGGTGGAGGGTGTAGAGGCCTGGCCCACAGCATGGAGCCACCCTCCCTCCCCACTTGGTGTCTGTCCTTTGGCCCTGGACCCCTCACCCCACAGCAGGTGGCAGAGGAGAGAGGCTGACCCCTCTCTCCCCACACATCCCACCCCTGGTACCCAGGTGAGCACTAAACTTTTTTTTTTTTTTTGAGATGGAGTGTGGCTGTGTCACCAGGCTGGAGTGCAGCGGCACCATCTCGTCTCACTGCAACCTCCGCCTCCCGGGTTCAGGCGATTCTTCTGCCTCAGCCTCTCAAGTAGCTGGGACTACAGGTACCTGCCACCATGCCCAGCTAATGTTTGTATTTTTAGTAGAGACAGGGTCTCACCACGTTGGCCTGGTCTCCATCTCTTGACCTCGTGAGCCGCCGCCTCGGCCTCCCAAAGTACTGGGATTACAGGCGTGAGCAACTGCACTCGGCCAGCACTAAACCCTTCTGTTCTGAGCTTTTCTTGCCTGGAGAGGAGATACCAGGGAGGGAAAAGGTCAAGGGCCCTGGCCACTCCTGGGTTCCTACAGTCTTTGTCCAGCCTCCAAGATCCACAAGTCCCTTCCTCTGGGAAGCCCCTCTGGCCTGGAGGTGCACCAGGAAGAAGTGGAGCCATGGCCTCAGGAGGACTGGGGGACCTGCTTGGCCAGGCATGTGGCTCACACCTGTAAACCCAGCATTTTGGGAGGCTGAGGCGAATGAATCACTTGAGGTCAGGAGTTTGAGACCAGCCTGGCCAACATGGTGAAACCCCATCTCTACTAAAAATACAAAAATTAGCCGGCCGAGGTGGCATGTGACTGTAATCCCAGCTACTCAGGAGGTTGAGGCAGGATAATCGCTTGAACCCGGGAAGTGGAGGTGGCTGTGAGCCGAGATTGTGCCACTGCGCTCCAGCCTGGTAACAGAGCAACAGTCTGTCTCTTAAAAAAAAAAAACAAGAGACTTAAAGATGTTTCATGCTGTGACTTTGCTTTTGGGAATATGTCCCAAGGAAGTCACCCCAAAGAGTAAGGTGGTTGGCCCCGTGTAGTCCCGGCAGGGATAGAAACACTTTCATCTGTGCCTTGTGTGGGAGCACGGTCCCGGCTCTCCACTTTGGGAGGCCAAGGTGAGTGGATCACCTGAGGTCAGGAGTTCAAGACCAGCCTGGCCACCATGGTGCAACCCTGTCTCTACTAAAAATAAAAAGGTTAGATGGGCGTGGTGGCAGGTGCCTGTGGTCCCTGCTACTCGGGAGGCTGAGGTAGGAGAATTGCTTGAACCCGGGAGGTGGAGGTGGAGGTTGTAGTGAGCCGAGATCTCGCCATTGCGCCCAGTCTGGGCAACAGAAAGGGAGTCCATCTCAAAAAAAACATGCAATTAAAATAATCAGTGAGAAGTGAGCCCCTCTCCCCGATGTTGGCCCCATACCCACCTGCCACTTATTACTTCCTGGTGTCTCCTTCCAGGGGCAGGTGGGACGTGCCCCCTCCACCCTGTTACTCCACACTGACAGTAGCCCGGGTCACTGCATCTCCATTTTTTTTTTTTTTTTTTTTTAAGCAGAAATAGTGTCTCACTCTGTTGCCCAGGCTGGAGTGCAGTGGCACAATTTCAGCTCAATGCAGGCTTGACCTCCTGGGCTCAAGCAATCCACCCACCTCAGCCTCGCAAGTAGCTGAGATTACAAGCATGTGCCACCGTGATCAACTAATTTTGTGTTTTTAGTAGAGGCGGGGTTTCACCATGTTGGTCAGGTTGGTCTCCAACTCCAGACCTCAGTGATAATGCTACCTCGGCCTCCCACAGTGCTGGGATTACAGGCATGAGCCTCCATGCCTGGCCGTCTGGCTGATTTTTAAATTTTTTGTACAGATGGTTCTCACGGCTGGGTGTGGTGCCTTATGCCTGTAATCCCAGCACTTTGGGAGGCTGACGTGAGTGGATTACCTGAGGTCAGGAGTTCAAGACCAGCCTGGCTAACGTGGTGAAACCCCATCTCTGCTAAAAATATAAAAATCAGCTGGGCATGGTGGGAGGTACCTGTGGTCCCAGCTACTCGGGAAGCCAGGAGAATCCTTGAACCCGGAAGGCGGAGGCTGCAGTCAGCCGAGATTACGCCTTTGCACTCCAGCTCGGGAAACAAGAACAAAACTCTGTCTTTTAAAAAAAATAAGAGATGGGATCTCACCATGTTGCCCAGGCTGGTCTTGAACTCCTGGGCTCAGGTGAACCTCCCGAAGTGCTGGGGTCACAGCTGTGGGCCGCCACGCCCAGCCGCCGTCTTGGTTTGCTTTGATCTCTTCCCTTGGAAATGCAGCAAAGGGCTTTCCGTCGTCTTTCCCACAGCTGCACAGTATTCCATAATCATTTAAACAACTGCTAACAGACTGTATTGGGGTGACTGTGGTACGCTCCAAATCACATCTGCCCAGAGCTCCAGGACACGGCCTTGTTTGGAAACGGTTTTAGTAGTTGCAGCTAAGATGAGGTACCCGTGTTAAGGTGGGCCTGAATCCAGTGCCTGGTGCCCTTCTAAGGAGAGGAAAACGTGGACGCACACAAGAAGGCCAGGTGAAGACAGAAGCAGGGACCGGGGGCCAGGAGTGCCTGGTGCTGCGAGGGGCGCAGGGCAGACCTCAGCCACAGGAGAACCCAGCCCTGCGCACGCCTGATTTCAGAAGGCGTCTTTGTGGTGAAAACTCCCAGCGCGTTTGCGGCCTTGGAAACGGCCACAGACACTTTTGCTCTCGGCCTGTCTCCAAGTCTGTGGCTGCCACAGTGAGTGACTTCAGGCTGGAGGGGCCAGGCGGAGCCAGAGGGGCCATCACACACATGAGCCTTTTAGGAATACTGAGTGACACATGCAAGACCCCAGACTGACACCTGACACCCGAGTGACACTGTACACCCTGGGAGGGAGGGTCCCTTAGCATCTGGCTAGCTGGGAGGGACTCACCTGTAGAGAGGTGCTGGGAAGCTGGTCTCGAGGGTCCCTGTGGGGACATAGGGCCCGGCAGCCTCTCGCCTCAGGGTCTGCATGTCTGCCTGTCTTCCTGAGTCCCCAGGGCTCCTGCCAGGAAGGCCTCTGAGGCCACCGCTGACAGCATAAAGGCCGCCCAGTGTTCCGGCAACCGCGCTGACCACTCCTTCCTCCCAACTGCAGGGTGAGGCGGCCCCAAGGAAGGGGAGGCTGGAAAGTTGTTCGCAATATCTGACAGAGTGTGACGCAGTGTGGGCAGGCCAGGCCAGGACCACTGCCAGGTGGGGTCTGTGGCCATCAGCCCCCAGCTCTGCGCCTCCAGCTCCGTGCGACCCCCCACCCGCCGGGGGCCTAGCCTCCCCATCACCACACCCCCTTGAGGGGCTTCTGTCTCCTCGTGCACCTCCCATCCAGGAGGCGACGCCTGCGCAGGTACCTGATGCCTCAGCCACTCGCATGCAGTTCCTTTGGAAAATACACTCAGGATGAGACCGGTACGCGGTGCCTCACGCAGCACGATTCACGACAGCCCAAGGCAGAGACCACGCAAACACCCACTGAGGGTGAGGGGATCAGCAACGCGCGGCCACCCACGCACCAGAACGAGTCTCAGCCACAAGGAGGAGTGAGGCCCTGACCCGGGCCACAGCACGGATGCACCTTGAGGACGTCATGCTCAGCGAGCCCTCAGAAGGGCACACCGTGATCCCATTTATATGAAATGTCTAGGACAGGCTGAACCACAGCAGCACGGAGAGGATTCGTGGGTGCCCGGACTGGGGAGGGGGACCCAGGGGTGCCTAGGTGATGTGATAGGGACGGGGTTGCCTTTTGGGTGACGAGAATGTTCTGGAATCAGAGGCGATGGCTGCACAGCCACAGAACTGCTTACTGTAAGATGGTGGATTTTGTATATATTTTACCACAATAAAAAAAATCATACAACAAAAACCAGGAAACATCCAGAACCCTCCTGCCCTGCCCCTCCTCAGCCAGAGGGCCCCGTCTTGGGTCGAATCCGGCCTGGGTGGGGACAGAGCCTGCACCCTGGTATCGGCTTCCTCTGCCCCTGTGTCAGGTCCCCACAGAGCCGACCCTGCCTTTCCCAGGGCACACACCCAGAGTCCCCAACTCACTTGGGGTGAACACCCAAGTCTTCCCTGAGGCCCACCAGACACTGCCTGCCCTGCCCTCCTCACTTTGCCCCTCACACACACCGGGCGCCGTCCTGCCCTGGGGCATTTACATGGCTGCGCCCTCTGCCTGGCAACCAGGCATCCCTGCCTCCTCCACCCCTGGCTGAAATGCTAGGCTTCTGGTGAGCCCCTGATCCAAGGCCATCCTTTCCCGGGGCCCTCCCCGTCCTCGTGGCGCTGCCGCCCTGTGTCCTCATGAGCTGCTGTCTCCGGGATGCCCACCATGCCCTCTCCACACAGGTGTTCCCTCATCTCCAGTGCCCAGGATGGTACCTGCCTCTTCTCAGGCACCATGCAAAAGCAAGCCTCAAAACCACCTGGGGACTCCCTGTAGCCCCTGGTCCCCAGGCCGCCTGCCTCCCCCAGCCTCCTCCCAGCCCCAGCAAGGTGCCAGCACCCCCTGGGCCAGGTTCCTGCCTCCTGCATCTGTCTCACTGCAGGACCTGCGGCCCCTGATTTTTTCTTCTCAATTTTCTTTCCCTCTCAACACAACAGCTACGTTCTAGGATCAATGGAAAAGCTGCAGCCCACCCCATGGGGACCTTGGTCAGCCTCTCCCTCCATCCAGGCATCTCCCAGCCACTGCCAGGGTTGGCCCTGGCAGTAATGGCCCCACTGGCCTTGCTCTGCCTGTCACGTGGAGATGGCAGCAGAGACACCTGCCCCAGCGCTGCTGTGTGACCCACGTGCTCCCCAGGCCTGACATCTGCTCCCCTGGGGACTCTCCAGCCCCTCTCGGCTGTCCTGGCCTGTGGGGAACCAAAGCCCCCATTCTACACAAGCCCTGCCCCATCACCATGGGCCCCTCCCACCACCAAAGCCTTCACGCCCCACTTGCTCTGTCCCTCCTGGCCCCCATCTGCCAGCCCTGGGGTGACCTCAGCCCAGCAGTGCCTCCAGCCTCCCTCCTTAGTGTCAACCGATGGAGTCAGGCGAGCACCTCCTCCCCAGAACAGGGCCATCCGGCTAGGGTGCAGGGACCCACTGGGGTCCAGTCCTTGGCGCCACAGGACTGTGGCCGGTGCCCTGGTGTATGGGCCCAGAAGCGGTTTCTTGTGGGATTCGGGGGCTGAGTCCCCCATCTGAAATGCCGGCCTGGGAAGCCCCTCAGAAGCTGCTTCTGCAGCTGCAGGGCCAGACAGGGGCTCCAGGGCAGGACCGTGTGACCCTGCCCTAGCCGGGGACCCTCAGCCAGCCAGCCCCAGCCACGGGTGCATCCACGTGTTTAATGACAGCGTCACTGCATGACATGAGAAACAAGGCCTTCCTGTCCTGGGGGCTCCTCCACCCCCAGCATGGACAGAACCAGCTCCCAACACAAATCGCGCGTCCTCCCACCCGGACCTGTGGCGGTTCCCAGTCCCAGGAGGGGCCGCCAGAGTCCCAAGTGGGTTGTGCACTGAGCTGGCAGGGGCCTGGAGCCCACGGCGACAGGGCTGATCTTTGACAACTGCATGGGCGACTGTGGGCAGGGTGTGCATGGGCAAAGGCAGGGTTTGTTTTCTTATTAAAAAAAAAAAAAACAGGTGAAACACTAAGACCTTGACCACTCAAAATCCACACTGCGACGCGCACCAGCCCCCACCTTGCAGGAGGGCCAAGAGGGGTCCGCGACCTGCCCAGAGAAAGGTGGAGAGTGCCTCTCCAGCGAATGTGGAAGATCGGCCCACTTGAAATGACAGGGCTTTAAGACTGGGACCCGACCCCCCAGGAGCAGTGGGCGGGTCCAGGCTCCCTGCCCATCCTCGTCCAGCCTCAAACGTTTCCAGGACCAGTCAACAAAAACACAAAACAAATCCAAAGAAAAGTCACAAATACATATGTACACATGCACACCAGCCCCGCTGGGGATGCCAGGCTGTCAGGACACGAGGGGTGCAGGTTCCCAAGCGCAGCAGGGTGGCGGATAGGACCCTCCAACCCCAGCCCGCCCCACCCTCTCCATGTCCCTATGAAATGGGAAGGGGGCGCAGAGGGACGGGCGGGGGCCGTGCTCAGCTCAGGCTCCACTACCTGGCCTTGCCTCCCTCTTGGCCTGCCTCGTGGTCTGGGAGCACGAGAAGCTTCTGGAAGGACAAAGAGCGCCCACCTCCTGGGCCCCTCGGGCCTCCCTGGCTTCCCTACGGCTACCAGCGCCAACGGACAGGACAGGCCAAGATACAGGCGGCAGCTGCACTACTGCTGGCCTCCACAGGACCCAGCCACCCAGCAGGCTCGGGGGATGCGAGTCTCACGCCGCAGGCAAGGGGGACGCTGGACACCGTGAGGGCACGAGTTGGCGAACGCACAAGGACACAGCACCTGTCACACTCTCTAGCCTGCGCGGTGAGCAGGCCCGGCATCAGTTCTCCCAGGGTGACGAGTCCAGAGCAGATGTCCTCCTCCGGTGTGAGGGTAATGCTCAGCTGGGATGCACAGGCCCGTCCGAAGCCCACCACCTGCCAGGCAATAGCCATGACACAGATGCTTCCAAGAAAGATCACTGTTTGGAGAAGTGACAGCAGAGGTGGCTGCAAGGCGAAATCCAGGTGGGAAGTGTCTCCTGCATCCACAGGCCTTCAGGTCTTGGTCTGGCCTTGGGTTCAACACAGAGGAGCTACAGCTGTGAACCGGCAGCCGGGGCATCTGGTCTGTTTCCTGAAGATGTGGGCAGTTCCAGGAAGAGCATGCGGCCTTGGTGGGCAGGTGCCCAATAGACAGAAGCAGTGAGGGTCCCAGGGGGCATCCGTTGCTCTGAGCACAGACAGTCCGAGCTGGGGCTGTCCAATGTGGTTCTTGCCCTCTGAGAAGTGGGACGGAGCCCCCAATGCTGAGGGTCCCCGAGCACGTGCCCACCCCAGATACTGGTGGACATGGTTCACAATCAGGCGTTTAATGAGACTCCAGGATCCTCCAGGCCCAGCTCCCCGCCCGCCCGGCCGCCTTCCTTGGGGGACAAGCGCTGGAAGGGCAGGGTCCATGCAAGCTGAAGAGCTGGGGTCCTCCGGCCCGAGATGGCTGGTGTGGTGCGGTCCTGCTCGGCGGGTTTACCGGATCCTGGTGAAGAGGTTGAGCACAGACACAGATTCCTGCAGACACATGGGGTGGGGGACGCTAAGCCACAGCCCCGGGAAAAGCTGCCTGGAGGGAAACTGAGGCTGTGGGGCTTGGTGGTGAGGGGCTGAGAAGTGCTGGTCCAGCCTCGGCCTGCCACACTACCCCCGACACATGACCCAGAGTGCGAGGTGAGGAGAGCTCGGAGGTGGGGGAACCCAGGGGAGGGTACGCCCGAGGACACAGTGGGGACAGGGACGGCCGTGGGACAGGCTGGGGCTGGGGCGGGGGTGGGGGCGAGTGGCGCTGATACCGACCCACTTTACCTTTGTCGAACGGGTTTTGCTAAAGACGTTCCAGAACCTCAGGGTCTCATCTCCAGCACCAGTGACGATGGCCTCCCCATCAGGGGACATTGCCTATGGACAGGAGGGAAGCACCCCATGTCTCTGGGTCTCTGAGGTGCCTCTGGGACAGTGCTGGGGGACTGAAGGAAGGGTAGCAAGGTGTGGGGTGGCTGGGCCACCCAACCCAGGTTGCATGGGCAGAGCTCAGACTCGGGCCAGGAAGGAGAGGCAGGCCAGGGTCACCATGGGCAGAAACCAAGGTTGGAGTTTTTTTTTTTTTTTTTTTTTTTTTTTTTCAATCCCGGGATCTGGCTCTGTCAGTCAGGCTGAAGTGTGCAGTGGGGCGATCCTGGCTCACTGTGGCCTTGATCTCCTGGGCTCAGGTGATCCTCCCACCACAGCCTCCTGAATAGCTGCGACTACACGTGCACACCACCACACCTGGCTCATTTAAAAGAACGTTTTGCAGAGATGGGTTCTTGCTATGTTGCCCAGGCTGCTCTTGAACTCCTGGGCTCAAGCCATCCTCCCACCTTGGTTTCCTGAAGTGCAGGGAATACAAGCGTGAGCCACTGCACCTGGCCAAGGTTGGAGCATTTTTGCTAAAACATCAAGAACACACCCTTGCAAGGGGTGAGAGTCAACTCTGCGCAAATGAAGAAGGATACAGTCAGATGTGCGGATGAAAGCAGAGAACACGTTCTCAGTGAAGAAACAAAACCTTGACGAGTAAGGCCACAAGGGGACAAGAAGGCCTCCTGGCCCCCTTCCAGCCACGTGCACACGGTTGCTGTGCAGGACGTCCACAGGTTCATCTGACTGGTCAGCTGTGAGTTATCTCTGGCTTTCCTCTTCACCCCTCTTTTTGGGGAAAATAAACACATGAAGAGGCTGAGGTCCTCCAGGAGGACAGGGCCCACACCTGCAGGGCTGGGAGTCGGTAAAGCCCACGCCAACGCTGGCAATTCAACCAGCACCGGATGCCCCGACGGCCAGCCCCGCTGCTGCGTCCCGCAGGGTTTTAGATCTGCACACTGTCCTCCCTAGGAACACAGGACGGGGGGCGCTCTGGAGCAGCCATGGCTGGCACTTTTTCCAGAATCCCCGGGCACCTTGAAGCGCCCGGCGTGCACTCACCAGGTACAGCACGCGGTAGGAGTGCCCAGTCAGCTTGGCCACCTGGGTCAGGGAGGGGTACTTCCAGACGAGGATCTGGTTCTGCGAGTAGCCGTGCGTGCTCACCTGCAGGTGGGAGGGGGCACTGTGGTCAGTGGCGGGGAACGAGGCTGGGTGTGATGCCTGCCGCCCCACACACACCCAACCCGAGTCCACAGGAGAGCTCGGAGCTGCCAGCCAGCCGGGGAGGAGCAGGGGATGCGGGCTGTGGCTCCACCTCCGGCTCCGTCTGGGAGGTGTGGAGGCCACAGCTCGGCCCCCCCAACCCACTTCAAAAGGCTGGAGCCCAACAACGACCCACAGAGGGCCCACAGCCCCTCTGCCCCACCTGCAAGTCATCCCTGCATCTGTGCTGGGGACACACAGCCCAGAGCGGCTGGGGCAGGACAGCGTGTCAGCGGAGCCCACTTCGTCCTGGGCCGCGTCTCCGAGCAGAGGCAACTATCGGAGCTCCCCAGCTCCTCACAGAGCCACCAGGTGTGGCTGCAAAGGGGGCCCAGAAGCCTGAGTGTTGCCCCAGGTGAGGTCCTGGTGAGGTCCTGATGGGGCCCAGGGGCCCTGCCCCACCCCACAGAGCTCCCTGCCTCCCCACCCCGCCTCCTTCGCCCATCTCCCTTCAGAGCAACTCTGACCCATGTCCCCACCGGCTGCTGTCAGATGGCAAGGGACCGGCGGGACGCACATCCCGAGGCCTGGTGGAAGGAGGCCGGGCTGCCCATGCTCACCAGCTCATTGGCGTGCTTGGACCAGGCCAGATTGCACACTTGGGAGCCCGTGTCGATACACTGCAGCGGCTGCCCCGTCAGCGTGTTCCAGAAGCGGATGCAGCGGTCGGCCGTGCCGCCCCCCGAAGCCAGCAGGCCGTGCTGGTGCGGGGACCAGGCGATGGCCTTCACGGCTGCCAGGTGCTCCGTGTACTGCTGCACAGGACTCAGGCTCGAGTGATTCCAGACCAGCAGCTACGGGACAGGGGCTGTGAGGCCGGGGCTGTCCCAGACCTGTGGTCCCATACGCTGGTCCCCACAGGAGCGAAGACCTGCCCTGGTGCCCTACCCCACACCCTTCCTGCTGCTCCCTCAAGGACTCCTGGGGACACATGCTCGTCACCGTGTGCTACAGAGCGGGACTGGCTGAGCAGGAGGGACAAACCCAAGGCCCTGCCGACGGCTTGGAGTGGGCTCCACGCCTGTCCCCAGCCCAGGCTCCGCCATCACTGCCAGCGTGAGGGCTGCAGCTTCTGGGAGGGAAGCCAGGCTCTGGGCACGCATACCTTGTTGTCGTTGCCCCCCGAGGCGAGAAGCTGGTGGTCCGTGGACCACTTGAGCCCGCACACCTCCTGGCGGTGGCCCTGCAGCCGCCGCTCTGACTGCAGCGGGGGGGTGCGGATGTCCCTCTGCAGGATCATGCGGTCCCGGCTACCAGATGACAGCTGGTCAGCGTTCCAGGCCAGGGCCCCTGGAGGCCAGGCGGAAGCAGGGGTGAGCCTCTCCTGGCCTCAGGGAGCTG